AGATATCCGTCTATCAACCAAAGGACGGGTTTACTGCGCAGTATTTCGATCCGTCCTACTTTATGGCAGTGAAACATGGCCGGTAAGAGTAGAGGATATTCGTAGGCTACTAGTACTTGATCACAGGTGTCTTCGAAGCATTGCTCGTATATCCTGGGACCATCGAGTAAGTAACGTAGTTGTTAGGAAACTGGTACTAGGTAAGGAATGGCAAATCGATTGATGAAGTAGTGAAACTTCATCAGTTGAGACGGCTGGTATATGTGTTACGTATGCCCAACCACCGACTGCTCCCTCGTGAGACGTTTTATGGTGTTGGAGTAGGTTGGGAGAAAGCTAGGTGCGGCCAGTCAAAAACATGGCACAAATCCATGAAGTCACTGGCAAGTGGACTGAGCCATGCTGGTAGGTGTAGACTACCTGGTTGGGATCTGCGAGACGATAGCAACCGATGGTTAGAGGCCTTGAATGACATGGCTCAAGTTCGTTTGGAATGGCTGAGGTGCATCCACTCTTTGTGTTCTCCCAAATCCCGATCTTCTGGATTATTCGTGTCCCTTTTTTTCTCTTCCCATATTTATTTCACTGGATTATACTCTTTAAATAACATCTTCAAACACTAATCTTTCTGATTACAGCTTATAATTTTACGACATATAACACTACGGGATTTGAATGGACCACTGCATCTGTGTGCTAATGTGGTATGGCAACTCGAACTAATGTACGTACGTACGTACGAAGTTCTACGTTGTTGATGACTGACTGAGTGATGCTATTGAGATTACGCCATCCGTTTACATGAGCTATGCATACTAAAGAATTATATTGGTTTTATAATTCCAAAAAGCGGTTCAATATGGGTGATTTCTTTGATTTTAAAAAGGAAACTAAAAATTCACCGAACTGACAAAATTTTGAAATAAAGTTATTACTAAAAGTTAATTTTCTCCATATGTCTGCAGTGTATTCTGGTTAAATGCCCATTTTTAAGAAACTGTAATCAAGTACATTTTGTTTGAAATAATATTTCTGATATATTAATGAAATACATAGCTTAACAGCAAATAGAATCTGGAATTTTGAACTATAGATTTCTCTCTGTCATGAAATGGGTTGCTCCTTGAATAGTAATCCTTATTTACAGACGACTGTAATGGATCGAATAGACACAGTAAACAGTTCATTGCATCAAAATATCTCTGAAAAACGAAAGCTCATTGGTTAGTATTTATTGATCGTTGTTAAGCGATTGGTGGATCTTTAGAATTGAACAGTTTTTAGTGACCCGCGATCTGACTCTAGTTAGATCGTTTCTGTTTGTTATTGAAATGTAATTATCGACTAAAATCGCGTTGGTGAATAGCGGAATTAAATAAGTCAAATACGAGAATGGATTTTGAGAACATATATTTCGTACAATCATTGATTGAAAAGTGAAGCAAAACGAAATGACGTGCAGTGGAGAAGGTATGTTAGTCAATTTAACTCAATTAAGCGTTACTCAATATTTATAGTCAGACAAAAATAAGGTATAGGCGTCGTAAGATAAGAATGGCACACACATACGGTCATATAAAAAACAGTCAGGATTATTGAGTGACAGGGTAAAAGTCTGTCCAGAGGCTAGAATAACCTATGTGGGCTTGACAAAGTAACAGCCTCTACAATGAAAGTAACCTTTTTCTCAGTAAATCCATGCATAACTCTGCCTGTAGCTCTTCTAGAGTTGCTGCCGGTCACAAGCCTGGGTAATGAAGAGGGTTGGGGGTTGGGTAGGCAATCCTATCCCGTTCAAAACATTCTTACTAAAAAACACTAACGTGCTTAAACAATTTAAACTCTGTCCTCCGAGATGAAGGAAGAATTATGACGCCTCATAATGAAAGCCGAGATTCTTCGAAAGTTGCGAGGTCGATGCCATTTCTAACAACTACAGCGATAATCAATATATTACATGGAATGTTCGGAAAATGTGAGAGATCAGGAAGATCAAACAAATAGCTACAGAAATGAGGAGATACAGTTTGACGGTGCTCGGAATCAGTGAAACCCATTGGACTCAATCTGAACAACAAAGGCTAGATACGGGAGAGATGTTACTGTACTTCGATTACGAACAGGAAAATGCTCCGCACATTCAGGGAGTTGCTTTGATGCTTTCCAAAGAAGCAGTAAAGCACTTATAGGATGGGAATCTCATGGATCCAGGATATTCAAAACAGTGAGGGAGGGAATCACAATGAATATTATCCAATGTTATGCACCCACAAATGATAGCAATGACGACGATAAAGATCAGTTTTACGAGGGGCTACAATCGATCATAGCAAAGTGCTCAGGAAAGGACCTGACAATTCTGAGGGGAGACCTAAACGCCAAAGTCGAAATGGAAAACACTGGGTATGAAAATACGATGGGGTACGACACGGACTGGGAGGAAAGAACGAAAATAGTGACAGATTTGCAAATTTATCTGCATTCAACAAAATGGTTATAGGCGGCACAATATTTCGACACAATTGCATGCACAAAGCTATATGGGTCTCACCGGATCACGCCATGGAGAACCAGATCAATCATATTTGCATCAATAGAAAATTCACAAGGTCAATTAACGACATGACAACCAGGAGAGGAACTGACGTAGCTTCAGATCACCATCTAGTATTTGCCAAGATGAAACTGAGGCTAAAGAAGCAGTGGACAACTGGGAAAACAGAATTACAAATGTTCAGTGCAGCTTTCCTCCGATATACTGACTAACTCAACCAATTCAAGATAGCTCTCAACAACACGTTCTAAGCCTTAAAGTATCTACTGAAAGAAGAAACTACTATGGAGGACAACTGGGAAGAGATCAAAGAAGCACAAACTTCAACTTGTCAGGAGGTTATGGGCCGCAAGAAGCATCATCATGAGAAATGGATTTCTATCGTAACCCAGGAGAAAATTCAAGAGGAAAAAAGGAGACAGCAATAAACAACAGCCAAACAAAGACAGAGAAAGTCGAGGCACAAGATGAGAACACTGAGACTAACAAGAAAGTAGAGAGAATTAGGACCGACAAGAAGAAATATGTGGAAGAGATGGCAACGACAGCGGGAAAAACTAAAAGAGAAGGAAGTATGAGACAGATATATGACACAACGAAGAAACTGACAGGGAAATATAGTAAACCAGAAACCACTGAAGGACAAAGAAGGCAAGCCAGTTACTGAGATTCAAGAGCACAAGGACAGATGAATAGGACGCTTCGAGGAACTTTAATATACCAGCTCCACTGAATCTACCAGATATCGAGGCAGCACCTACAGATGTCACAATACCAACGGTCGAAGAAATCAAGAGTGAGGAAGCAGCAGAGCCTGACAATCTACCAGCCGAAGCGCTAAAGTCAGACACAGAAGTAACTGCAGACATGCTTCACACTCTATTCAGGAAGATTGAGGAGGAAAAACAAATAACGAAGGACTGGAAAGAAGGATACCTCATCAAGATACACATGAATAGAGATCTGAGAAAATGCGAGAACTACAGATGCATCACACTACTGTGAGTACCAGGAAAGTTTTGCAAGTGTTCCTGAACCGGGTGAAACACGCAGTAGACTCCCAACTTCGAAATCAACAGACCGGATTACGTAAGAATCAGTCGTGCATAGACCAAATCGCGACACCACAGACTACCTTTGAGCGATCAACTTAATGAAACCCGTCATTATATATGGAATTCACCACTCTACATCAACTATATTGACTACGAAAAAGCACAAGAGGAAAAGCAAGATCCCCAAATACAACACACAGAACACCAAAGCACTCATACTTGATGGAGAAACTCTGGAAGATGTAGAAACCTTCACGTACCTGGGATGCATCATCGATGAACAAGGAGGATCAGATGCAGATGTAAAGGCGAAAATTGGCAAAGCAAGGGTTGCATTCCTACAATTGAGGAATATATGGAACTCAAAACAACTTTCAACCAATATCAAAGTGAGAATCTTCAGTACGAACGTCAAGACATTTCTACTGTATGGAGCTGGAACTTGGAGAAATACCACAACCATCATCAAAAAGGTACAAGTATTTATAAACAATTGTCTACGTAAGATACCGAATGTCCGTTGGGAGAGAACAAACCAGCTTCGAGATGATGAGGAAAAGATGCTGGAAGTGGATAGAACATACAATGAGTGTTAACTTCGAATCCTGAAAGGCAAAGGAAAAGTGGAAGACAAGGGATTGTTCAGCACGGAGTTGGATGGAGAATGCTAGTGGACGGCCTATGCTCCTCTACGAGGGTAACAGCCATAAATAAGTAATAACGCTATGAAAAAGATGTAACTTGTATTACGAATTGATCTTAGACTAGTTAAAACTAGATGGGACAGTTATTCGCCAGTGGTAATGATAGATGGCTGCACTATGTGGCGAATTGATTAGATTCGAACCTGTACATCATTAAACACTAGATTAATGGGCTGAAGACTACGTTATCACTGAAGGGCCCGACCTTCGATGTGATAGCGTATGTACACTAATGAGGAGTCCCATATTTGCAAAAAACATGTGTCGTTGCTCCCGGATTTGCAGTGGTTTTTTAAATACAATAAGTCTGTGATGTAAACTAAGAAAATTTAACAATCTCCACAAACCGCTATGCTAGTAAAAACATATATCGGTTGTCTGGATCTTCCCATTGATGGTGAAGACTACAAATGATCAATCTTTTTCAAGATATGAACATCCTGTCCAGATTTCTCCTAACTTTCCCCTTAATTTACAAGCATTTTAGTCAAAAATGGATTGTGGCTAGCAGTGGAATCCAGAAACCGCGTTTTATAATATTTGCAAATTGTCAGCTAAACTTACCTGCATTCCGGAGTTGGTCCAACAGAATCCAATCGAATTGCATACATACAACTTTGAAATATATCTGAATATTGAGAACTGAAACAGGGTCGATATTCATTCTTAGTATAAATTTTCGTTTTAAAGAAAGCTTTATTTTGCTATTGAACAATGAATAGAAAGACTGAGGCCCGATTTTCTATAACAAATTATGTAATAAAGTAGACTGAGTAAAATTAAATAAATGAAATTTTATAATTCGTAATACGACAGAAGGCTTTCTCAAATTCAAGCAAAAATACATGAACTGAACGAAGAGTATTTTTTAAAAATAAGAAATCATCATTACGGTCTGCAATTATAAATTCAAATTAATATTCCTGAGAGCATATTCAAGGTAAATACATCATTTAAGATTACAGCGTATAAATTTAGGATTGTTAGTGTGGTGTGTGCTACTGACATAGACAGACATGAGTAGTATATAGCACCAATCAGAAATGGGAGGCCTGGTAGTAGAAAGTTGGGAAGACGGATCAATGAGAACGGGAACAGATAGTAATCCTTATGCAAATGAAGGAACAGTAGAAGTTAAAACAATTGATGGAGTTTTTGCAGAGGAAGTATCGAAAGTGTGGTTTTCACGTTTTACCAAAGAACTGTAATTTTGTACTGAAGTACGTTTGGTTGTCCCAGACTGCGTTCATATTCACCATATTAGTACCGTCCAATGGAATTATTGCTTTTTAAAAGATCTAGTATGCCATATTTAAATGGAATAGTTTTATATGCGAATTGATATTTTGAGACAAATTACAAATGATATAGAGTTAGAAAACTAACATAACTACACTTCAGATCAAAAGGTTTAACTGCATTAACCAGCTGAAACTTACAAAACAACTTTTTTTAGATATTTGTGATCATTAAAATCATAGTTAGTTATAAATTAATTGCTCTTTAGACCAAAAACAATACAAGGTCCATTATTTCGAGAAAGGATTGATAAACGTTGAGACATAACATCTATTTACAAAAGTCTACTGATAGATATAGAAAAATTAAAGACCACATGAAAGTGGGAAGCCAGCAAAAGCCCATCTCTCTCAACTGCAAATGTAAAGTTGATGACGTTACATGAATAATCCTGAGGCTCAAAGTTCCATTATCTAGAACCTATTGTACATTCAGACACACAAAGTAACTCAAGAATTGTTCCTTTAAATAAATTGGAAGCTCCTCAACAACATAAACTCTTTAATTGATATTTTTTAGTATTTCAGTATTATAGTAATTCACGTAATCAATTAGATTTAAGCAATAACATATAAGCGTCTTTGCATTTGGTTGAATTCCAGAGTAATTAAAGATCTCCAGGATTTTTCACGTAATTCTTTATTTTTTTTATGTAACTGTATATTATTATATAGACTTAGCAACAATAAAGTTTATGAAATGCGTGGGTCACAGTTTATTACTTTTGCTTCTATACTATCCTATATATAGCAACCCATTGATTAAGTGATTAATGGGTTGGACTTTCAACCACTAAATCCAAGGTTCTCTCCTCGCTCCACTACAGTTTGGATAACGTGGTAGTGTCATTAGCCATCACATTGCGAGTGATGTTCATACCTGAGTGCCTGGTGAATTACTATTGTTATCAACCAGAAACATATTATCAATTATACGCCCATACGACTGGTGTTCGGATTAAAAATAAGGAGAAAGCTTGCGTTAAAACAACTCTTTAAAAAAATATACATATATATATATACAAACCTATGAGAACTATACAAAATCAACAATCATGAACTAACAATCTTTAGTATTAGAAAAAAAATAACAAGCAAACTTTTTTCTCATAGTGAGCAACAGGTTTCAGGTAAAGAATAAAAAGCCATGAATGGAATTCATAGTTGTTATGTGAGTAGTGAGAAACACTCATTTATCTACGTAACTACCTTTTTAGTTGCAAAATATACATACACATAAATTTAAAGAATGGAAATATTTCATTTCCTAAACTGACTACAAAAAGAGAACGAAAAGAGTAGAAAAAACAACTGATCGAAAAATCATTCAATAGAAAATAATAATCATGTATAGTGATGATGAGGCAGTAGTTGATAAGCATGACATGAGATCTGATATATATCATTGTGAGAGCTCAAGAAAATTCCTACAAGCTGTTGACTCCTCGTCTTTAATAGTTGTATTTTCAAAACGGATAATTCTGAACTGTATGGAAATTTGGCAATGTGTGTGTGTAGGAGAGATCAGTATGACTACTGGTTGGTAGTGAATTATCATCTTGATGTTGAATGTACTGAGGAGTAGGGACCATAGTAATTTGACTTGGCACTGAGTCTGTAGATGCACTATCGGATGGTAAAGTGGCAAGTTCAAAACTTTTCTCTTGTATAGGCCAAACACCATGTTCAACAAGATTGATCAAACGACAACTTGTTGGGTCTTCAGCTGCTAATTTGACAAATACCAAATGTTCAAGGCACTTGTATGCGATGGATCGTAAAGGAGGTAATCTTAGTAGTAATTTTGTGAAACGGGAAGTATCTTGGGGTTGATTAGTCGTACAATACGAATGAAGAGCTGAATAAAGCTGCTCCCTGACAGCTTCTACGCGATGACGTGATGATAAGCCATTAGCATCTAAGAGAATAACGAGAGAAAACCAAAATATTAATTAGCAGTCTTGATAAGATCTACAGTGTTTGATTTCCAACAACATATATATACAAAAAGTTGGATGATGTAGGAGTTCAGATTAAAGTACCAAAAATAGGTGGGTAATGAATAAATCTAAAATCCGGTCGACGGGTACTATTAATCCTTTTGCTTGTAAGTTTACAAAAAATAGCTGTTGTCATGAAAAATTCAAAAGGGTGAATCGCGACAACAACACAATAAGTGGACACCACATACGATCACTTTTCAAGTGTTTCAAAAACAACATACTTACGATGGATGAATGAAACAAAAGATTTGAATATTTTCATAGCTTACTTAGACACGAAAGTACGTAAATGGGTTTGAATGAGTGAAAGATATGGATGTTTAGAACACCGACGATCATAAATATATACCGTTCGATCAAGTTTCTGGAATAGACACTGATAGGTAAATGTAAAGTGATTCGATGTTTTCAAGTGAATAAATATAACAAACGAGTGTTCTTTTTAGTCCAAGAACTTTACATGAATTTCCTTACACGGTAAAGGATTTAACTACTTGATGAAAGGAACACGGTAGCTGTATTAAAAAGTGGAAAGGAATGAACAGTCATTTCTTTGGGTAAAAACTATTCTTATGGCTCTTGTGAGAAAACATGGTCTGATATATTTTTAAGGATCTATGGACACAGATCATGATCAGGGACAAGTTAAGAACCATCGAAGGAAACAATTCCCAGGGAAATTCACCAAATGTAAATAAGGATACAGCAACAACGATAGTTTTTTACTTGAAGTATATCAAAATCTACAAGTGTTTTGGAGAAAATTACATGTTCCAAGACGATTATTAATAGCAGAAGAATAGACATAATACTAAGTCATCCATTCATCCGAATTATAACAACACACTTGAAAACAATAGCTTCAATTTGATTTCTTTAATTTACTATTCAGTACGGTAGAAACGATTATTAATAAATTACTGTAAAAAGAACTGACTGGATAACTCACCAGGATTAAAAAGAATAATAGCACGTAGTAAAGCTAATTCAGTTCTTTGTAACGATAAATCACGAAAACGTGCAACAAGTTCATGAAGAATTCTATCAACAAGAGGGCCTAGACCATGTGATTTAGCCACTTCTCTACCAAGATGACGTCCAATTGATAAAAGTAGACCGTCTCTAATAACAGTTGAATGATATGCTGAGCTGATTAGAACTAATTCAGGCCAAGCTTTAAAAAAAATAAAAAGAACAAATAAGGAATGAAAATAATCAATTATAATTTGATAACCATCAAAATAAAACATTATAATAAGTCTAAATATTTAGTTTCTTCATATAATAAAATATCATAATTTGTTCAATGAAACAAATTGACAATGATTGAAGGTTTCTAATTAATTAAATTTCAAATAGGTTAATATCTTAACCATAATACAATAACTCAAGTACAATAAAATTGTATGAGTAAATACAAGTATATATATATATATATATATATATATATATATATATATATATATATATATTAACTGGAAGAAAGAAATAGTGAATCAAGTGAAATTGAAAATGACTTCGTTGTGTATAAAATAAACAATCTTGAAATAGATTTTTTTTTGTTGTTGCAAAATTTGAGAATATTAGATGACTACTCACATTATTTATCATGAATTTTAAATAAATGTAATTTATATAATATCTGAGTATAAATTTATGAACTAGTGATAATTTGATCTACTGATTAAATCCATAGTTATTAGAAGAGACTAGGAAACTGAAATAATGTTAAAAGTCAATTACATTCACTAATAAACTATATCTTAATCACTATAATCATTGTATAATTGAGTTTTGTTAAATAAAAGAGTACTTACCAGCTTTTATTAAACAGAACTGATCATCAAAACTAAGATAGGCAGATGAAAATACTGGTAACTGACGAGCCCAATTAACTATTCGAGGTAATTGTTGTTCTATAGACTGACAGATTATGGTCAATGGATGTAAACCAGTATCATCATCACCAGGTATATCTTCATAAATTGCTTCACCTCTTTCTGATACAGCCAATTTAGGATCCATGCTTAATTCAGCAGAAAGTAAACATCGTAATGTTAAATTGGGTAGATCTGTTTCGTCGGATAGCAATACATCATTAGATTGAATACAGGTAGTTGAACTTTCTGATTTAACTAGATTAGATTGTACGCAGTCAGTAGCTGTAACGGTCGTAGAAATACTAGGTGGTGAATCATGATTAATGTTCGGATGTTGATCAGTAACAACTGAGTCAGCAGATTTGTTACTAAATGCTGAACGACGCCCAGGACCTTTCTTTTCACTCTTTGGCGGCTTAGGAATTGAAGGCACTGGATTTGATGATGGTTGGCGATGACGCTCTTCTTGAACAGCTGAAAAATATAATAATATGTATCAATTTCTATTTTATGATAGCAACAGGCATTACATAAGAATATATGTAAATAGAAGGATATAATATATGTGAAGTGGGGGGGTGAGAAGAAGTTAGTGTAATTTATAACCTAGTACGCAAACCTGAATGTAACTGATCAGTTTATTTTTCAGACTGAAACCAGCCATTCTGTTTCATGACTTTATTGAAAAGATTTTCTTGACTAAATTCTGTTTTCAAAATATTTATCAATAATTAGACTAGCTGAGTTCATGGCGATATATTTTGAGTTTAACATACAACTATCATTAAGATTTCATTGCTGACAGCCTCCAGAAAATTGACTGATTTCCCACCTAACAGAAACGATAAGCAATTTAAATAAGGATAGTTTGTAAGAATTTATGACTTTTGAATATAATATGGGTTAAATTACACCATTTTCGTCTTTGCTTCATTATGGGAAGCACAAGAACTACAAGATAATGAATTTAGTGATCATATAAGAAAGTTCACTAGAGCTAATATATCTGTCTGTGAGAAATTATCACGAGTTTGTGTAAAATGCAAAATTTCTACGCTAGTTCTATAGATTTTCTGTTTAGCCAACTACTTTTATGCGTTTAGTACAACCGTCTACTGGTCAAACTAGGGGAGTAGAATTAAGCATGAGGAGAAAAAATTCATTAAACATTAAATTTCTACAAAAAATTCCCTTCGGTTTGGGCACCCGAGCAGTATCACAGCCCTCACACATCGAATGAGATTTGTGTGGCGCATATGTATTTGGTGCCTCCTTGGACCAATATCTATGTGTTAAAATAAATAATAATAATAATAATAATAATAATAAATACAATAAAATATACAAATATTCAGTTACTTAATGTAGTTTACTGTATTTATAAATAGAAAATTTGACTAGTCTGTAGGTTACAGAAAAGTTTACATTAAAGTTCCGTTGGATGACCAAAACCTAAGGAGCTGGTATTTTTGAATTTGCTATCAGTAGCAATGTGATTACTTTTCTCTGAAAATCTGTTTATTTTACTCTACAATGTTAATATCTAAACTAAGACAAGTTTTCAATAAGAACTTAGTTAATGGTTTTCAATATCGAAGAAAGATCGCTTACAAAGTAAATTCAGTTACACAAAACGCCAAATGCTTAACATCATGACTTACCTTCCTTCTTCATTCCCTTTGCTAAGCACTGCTCAAAACGGCAATGCTGACAACGTGTACGCTTCCGTCTGTCTACAGGACATTGACCTGATTCCCGACAAACATATACTAATTGTTTACGCACTGTTCGTTTAAAAAACCCCTTACATCCTTCGCATGAAATTACACCATAATGTTTGCCACTGGCTTTATCACCACAAATTACACAAATTGGATTCAAATTAGTTGTATTTACAGAAGTAGCTGATGAAGACTGGCTAGCCAATTCGGAAGGAATTTGTTCAAGGAAACATCCTCTACTCTCAGGTTTTGTCTTGTTAGGATCGACAAACAACAACGTTGGACTAAAATAGAACAAAATGCATGAGAATATTGATCAAAACATCAATTACGGGAATCGGTTGCTTGAAAACAATATAAGTAATGCCACAGTCCTCACGAATAGCGGAAGTTTACTGAACAAGTTTTGCAATATGATTAATATCGTGAATGATTTGACTTTGAAGTGTCTAGTGTTGAAAATGCTTTTGCCATGGATTTTGCAGCTACTGAAAGATATCAGTGAGATGTGTTCACAACCTCTAGGGAACTGAATTTTGCTCTATTTACCCTGAACCTGTAACCTTCAGAGCAGTAACCAGTGATACTATTGTTGAGATGTTTCGAAAACATATTACACTCAAGGGATAACTAATTAGAGCTAGTTTCATATGGTGCAAACTTGCTTAAAGAAGCTTTGAATACACCATGATAATAAATTCTAGTACAAAAGAGAAACCTAAGATTGTTTTCAATGAATCATTATCGTACCTCTGAAAAGAAATAAAGTGAACCATTGTTCACTTATTGTTACATAATAAACATTATAATCCTTTCAATAAGATGACATAACTAAGTTAATTTCGCTTTGTTTGCTAAACAATAAGTTCATAAGTTAAATATGATGACGTCATTTCAATAAATATCATTATATCAACTCATCTTTAAAGTAAGACTTCAAACAAAACACAAAATTGATTATAATTGAAGACTTATGGTTTCAGAGACTTGATTAATCTGAAGCGAAATCAAATTAATAACAGTTTAATGGTAGTCTAACATTCATCCATTCATGATATCAATTGAAAGGCAACAATCTCCACAACACTATGCTAATAATTTTCATGTGCTCACTAGTGACTGGTTTCAAGAGTTTTCTGGAGTTTCAGTGAGAAGCCGATACTAGTGTAGTCCAATCTGTATTGAGTAGAGACAGGTATCTACCTCCAACAATTGGTGAATAGTTGTGCAAGATCATGAATCGATTGGAGTTAAACATTAACACCGTTGGATGCCGGCTCAGTGGACTAGATGTTAGGCGTTCATCCTGGATTCGAGTGCCCACTTGTGGGATTGTGAATGTGCACTGCTGAGGAGTCCCATACTAGAACGAAGTGGCCGTCTAGTGCTTCTAGGTTTTCAATGGTGATCTAACATTCATTTATTCATGAGACTGATTGAAACTCAACAATCTTTATAACCCTATACTGACAGTTTAAGAATTGACTAGCTAGTTGGTTTTAATTTACTACTATGTTAAAGTCGATTTAGAAGTATTAGCTTCGAATCGGGAAGAAGTTAACGGTGAAAATCTCTTAGAAAATAGCTGGTCAGTTATTCAGTTGAATTGATTTTGTTGATCATATAACATAGAATATAGCACAATAAGTGAATAAACTAGTGAATTATCACATTTTCGTTTAAATTAGAAGTGAATTTGAAGAGTATGTGTAACAATCGGACTTCTACAAACTTTATTTCCACTTATGTCATCCATTTATAAGCTTGTGGATTATCTAAATACGTTGTCAATGCTTCCAATTTTTCGAAGAATAATACAATAAATTTTTAAAAATGGTAATTGATTGCATAAGACATCTTGAGAAAATGGTTCGAAAATTTTAGGTATAGAACGTATATTGTCTAACAACAAAATTTATTTTGACTTTAATAGATGAAAGGTTTTATATCCCCCTTTAAACAGGATTGTGTTAAAATGCTTTATATACAATGAATTTATACTTCATTTTGAAAAATTCCAAATAACAATTACATGTAGTCAACTTTGATTAATAAAATGTAAAAAATATAGGCTGATGTTATTAGCTACAACTGAATTTTTAGCTCTTCTCTTGATTCGAAGTATAAAAAAACATCAACTAAACATACTTAATAAAACTGCAGGTGGCACGTTTTACCAATGACTAGCAGGTTGACAAGTAGATTGAGTTAATACGTTGCGATGACCCTTAAAAATTGGTCGTGACAATACTTTTCTGCAAACTATATTGGTGTTTGTCGGTCAAATAGGTGTATAGATAACAAAGAATACTAATTAGGTTGAATGTAAAACTAAACCGCCTGATATATAGTAGAAGCCAAAACTATACACCGCTGATTCATTTAATCAAAAACACAATAAAAGTAACATCATAGTTAAATAGATCTATATGTATGGGGAGCGAGACAAAGAATGTGTATGTCAGTATAGGGTTGTAGAGATTGTTGAATTCTGTTGAAATCATAAACCAACGTTAGACCAACATTGAAGGCATGGAAGTACTGGACGACCGTTTCGTGATGGTATGAGAAACCTCAGGAGTGTTTATCCATGGCTTGAATGAAATTCAACAATCACCACGACACCATACTGACAATTATCGTGTGCTCAATAGCGACTAGCTACGAGACAAAATTTCCGCAGTTCTGGTGAGAAACCATGACCAGTGGAGCTAAACCGTGACTGGTGCGAGACAGATACCCACCGACGACAATGAAGGATGGTCGTGCAATGTCAAAGATTGATTGAACTTAGACTTGTGCACTGCTGGATACCAGTTTGATGGTTTATGGGTTAAACGTTCGTGAGACCCTGGGCTCGGTTCCCGCATGTGGGGTTGCGAGCGCTCACTGCTGAGGAGTCCAATATTAGAGCGAAGCAGTCATCTAGTGCTTCTAGGTTTTCGATAGTTGTCTAACACTGATCGGTTCGTGATTTCAGTAAAAGGATGTAGATATTGTTTTTAGTGTAATTACTTTACTAAGTACAGGGTTTGCGTATTTCACTTTGAGACAATTTCGCAGGAGATAGTGATACTACATACGTTTAATCTTACCATTTTTTCAACGATTTTGTTATTCGTAGTTTCAATTTCATCCCACTGTCGATAAAGTGTAGTAACTTGAGGTAATGAATATCTATCTCAGATCTTATGTTGACTATAACTAACTGACTGAATACTTGATATTCACGTGACCACAACAAATTGTATTTAGTTCATCAATTAGATTAATTTCATTAGTTTGAATTTAGATAACAGTACAAATTTATACAATAACTATATATAAGAATTAGAGGTTGAATTAGACCAGAAATATGCAATATAATTCCTGCTTACCCAAGCAGATTCAGTTTTCAAGCTGCAAAACCTAATCACCTCACATACTTAAATCTTAACGCTTATAGTAAACACCATCTTGTTAACGGTCACTTCACAAGCGAATCTCGGTGTTTTAAAGAATAATTTAGAAAAGCTTAAACCTTAGCATGTTTCTTTATGCCAAGAACATTCTATTCACGACTTTTTAATTAAAAATCGTGATTACATTTCACATCAATTTAATTAGTAAGTCATCAACAACATAGAGCCTGACAAAAGTATGTATTGCGCCAACTTGTCATGTCCCATTAGCACGAAAAGATGAGTAGCAATAGAGGTCGAAATAATGTAGTACCAATGACAAAAGGAGCAAGCGAGCATTGAGAATAAATTCCGAATAGACAGTGGAAGGGTATGTATGGAAAAGTATTGAAACTCAATATCTTGCGGATGATAAAGAGTGAATGGATCTGCACCGTTGTGAACAATTTTGAGCCATACCAAACAAAGTTTCTAAACATTGGTTATGATAATCACGTGGACCCTAACCAGTTAGTCTGAATCCACCAACATGACTCAGACCGAGGGTCAACGACTTCGTAGACTGGTGCCATATCTTCTTCTTCTAAAGAAGTCAAACATTGTCTAACGAGATGAGCAGTGGTTAGGTATAAAACACATCCTAACCACCTCAGCTGGTCAAGACCCATCACCTTATCAACCAAATTTTCCACCCTGTGCCCAACCTGAACACTGCCAACTAAGTCGTCCCAGTGAATCATACTTTGAAGATACCTATGACTAAAGTTGTCCTTTATTTTCATAGACCATGTTTCACGGCAATAAAGCAATACGGAGCGGATCGCTGCACAGTATACATCCTCTTAGATCAGCAGACGAGCATTTTGCCCAAACCACAAGTGACGCAAGTTACCAAAGACCAACTAAGCTTCTAAACACACGCAGAGGTTTTATCAGATACCAGCACACTATGGTTGATGAGACTTCTACGTTGAGTGCAAAAGTTAACTCATTCAGCTACTTCACTATCTATGACCAATTTGGAGGCTGATGCAGACCAGTGATGAAGCAATATTTTGCATTTAGTAGAAGAGAAGCGCATCCCGTACATCCTTGAAATATTGCCCAGGGCGACAAGAAGAATTTGGACTTTTTCTGCGTTTTCACTAAACGGAACCATGTTATCCAAGTATTCCAAGTCAACAAATATACTTCGTGGTAAACGATTAATCCCCGAACATTTAGACGAAGAGAATACAATTTCTAGGAGAACACCTATGACCAAAGCGAATAAGAAGGATTGTCAGCTTGGCTGCTGAGACTGGACCGCCACCCTACTGTTCTGAGGCGTTAATCTATCAAGATCGAATGTTTTCGCTCACCTTAGATCACCTACAGCCTTCTCAACCTCATTAAGAGTCAGAGAACTTGCGTCAAGTTGACAGGGGATAGAGCGTAACTGAAAAGTAGCTGGAGGCCAGATGAACAGTTCTCTCCTGGACTGAGATTAAATAAAGGTTCCGTATTCTTCCGAGACTGACTAAAAGCCGACGTTTAAATACCTGTTTTCTTCATGGTACGAAATCACCATCTAGCGTCACTTATCGCCGTCGCCTTTTCCATCTATTTTGCTCTCGTTGCTCACTACTGCTTATAATCATTATGTCAACTTTTCGTTGGCCTACACTTGAGGTGTCAGTGCTATTCATCATTTTCTGAGCCTGTCGAGATGAGTTTTTCGAGCATCTATCAGTTCAAAAGATGCAAACAAAATTCACTGATATTTTCTAACCGGTTGATCTGAGTTGCTGGTAGATCTTATTGATGTAGCTTACAGCTGTCTGAATATCATCCTAAACTTTTCCAGGAAGTGTCTTTCCACAATTGATTAGATGATTAGCTAATTCTTCCTGGTTGCATCCTTGACCATTTTGCCCTCGAATAGATATCTCAGGAGTCTTCCCGTCGCGACTTTTCTACATCCCGTAAAAAAACATAATTGCGTGCTCTCACTAGGGTATAATCAGAGTCCGGTGATAGGCTCCGAAATGAGCGACAGTTTTCTAAATGGGCTCTCCAACGGTGGCTAATGGAGATATAGGTTGTGTCCATTACAGTGATGTTAGGGATTTCCAGGTTAGAAAATGTATCTAATTATGCCTAAAGTTCCTACTTTCCAAAAATAAGTGATTGTCTAAAGCCAAATACAAGAGACAAACTATCGCTATCTGTTCGCTGGGCTGGAACTCCAAAAGACTACCTAAGCATTTTTCGGTCTGACTTAGCCTATCACCAACTGAGGCAGTAAATTCAACTGATGCAATTACGACGCCTGAAACTATGACTTTTTGGAAGAGGATGGAAAGCTTTCTATAAAACTCATCTTTTGCTCCATCGGAGATGCAGCCAGTGGGGTATAGACAGAAACGACGAAGAGACAATTGCACATGTTTCCGAGTTCTTACTACACTGTTTAGAAGGACAAAAAGTAGGCGACTGTCGATAGGAATCTAGTCAAGTCCCTATTCTACATCCAAACCTAGTTCTATACATGCACCGCCACAGCCACAAAGGATGGCGGTCCAGCATTAGCAGCGAGATTGACTGAGCTCTTAGGCAGAATCTGGGGTCTGGACGTAATCCAATCTGACTGGTCTCAATCACTGGGTGTGCCAGTCCCTTTTTTCCTCTTTCCAAATTTATTTCACTGGATTATAGTTATTGAATAACATCTTCAAACCCTAATCTTTCCTGTCACTGCTTATACTTTTGCTACCTCTACCACTACGGGATTTGAATCGACAATTACATCTCTGTGTTAATGCGGTATGGCAACTCGAACTGATGTACGTACGTACGAAGTTCTACGTTGTTGATGACTGACTGATAGCCACGAAGGATTGCTGTCGCGTCTACAGATAACACGAAGGGTGTTTGGCTTTGGCTCTCCATAGTGGCCAGATGAGTGAATGACTACGCTAGGAAAGGGTATGTGCACTTCGGAGACAGAATGCATCGATAACACGAAATTCTAGAGTCCTAACTAAGGAAGCCTGTTGTTCAATATGATATAAGGTTTGAATATTCAAAGCCCCAATATGTAACTTAGGGTGAGATTTTTGGAGAACAGGAACAGTATTTTGTGAACTCTGATTGTTGGCACTGATGGTGATAATGAGGGTGGAAGATATATTCAGATGTGAAGAATGGATTTGGTCGCGAACAATGTGGTCTTTAGTGGTTTTAGAGGAATGAGGACAGTTATACTTTCCAGATTTTCCACAGTATGGAGGGATATTTCTCTTTGAAAAAGAAACAGGGTTAGTAGTTGTCTTAACTTCACAGAAATATGACAGCATCGCCGAAAGGACAACATCTTGAGGTTGAGTAGCTTTAGATGTGCTAACTCTATAATTTAAAGGCCTTGGAGTCAGGGATGGGATGTCACTTTGAAAGTAGAACCTCCTTTACTCTCTACCGTCCGTCGTGAAAATGCAGCATAGCTGTAGTTCCTGTCTCATCCTTGTACAATCAACAGTACGACTTCGCCTTCGAACTTTAGGTAGCTGATTTTAGTTACCGTTCTCCAACCGATCTGTCTGGCATGATAGGGCTTGAATAAACGAATGTTTCACCTAACATAGTTCATATGGTCATCACGAGGAAGGAATTAATCGCCACATCAAGGTAGCAGACATCAACTTGGTATTCACAATGACATAATGTTGGGATTGAGTGCATTAAATCAAATATTCCACTTATGAAAAGAATGAAAGAACATAGAGAATTAAATGTTACCGCTGTGAGATCTGTGCTTTGTACCATTAAGATTAATTGTGTAATGAGTATGTTTTAAATGTGAAGGTGTAGTTTATTGCCTAAGAAGCAGTTTCCAACCAATATATTAAAGGTTAAAAACGTACTTGGCATACAAGTCGTGTTACTAAGTGTTCCAGATGACAATATTCTATGATAAGAATAAAAAATCCCACACAGATACAAAAAACTCTAGCAGGAAAAAACTTACGACTGAGAAACAGTAAGAGAATTAGTCTCAACTTTTGTAACTTGGGGTAAATAAGATGTGGAGGTTTCGTTTGAACTCCCAGAAGCAAGCAGACTAGTGAATGGTTCTGATACTACATTATCAGGGTACACAGTGTGTTGGTGAGTATCGGGAGGTAACATATGAGGAAATTTTTGAGGTGTGTTATAAACAAATTCCTGAAGATGAGTACTGTTAATTGAATCAGCTATGGGACAAAGATTAAGGTTGGTATCCGAAGTAACCGTACGAATATTAGTATGATTGTGAAGATCTGTTAAGAAGGATTGATTAATTATTTGAGGATGGTCAGTGTAAATGAAAGAGGGTTTTATATCGACATTTAAATTGGCGTTACTTGTGTCGCAAGAACTAGATTTTATTGAGATTTGAGATTTGCATGAGGAATTAGTTATGGTTTGGATTGCTAAAAGGAAAAATAAAGATAAAAGAATGACATGATGCACAATATATTTAAATCTCTGAATAAAGTTCTCTGAAATTGAGTTGTATGATGAAACAAACGGGTTCATAAGCAACACGACTTAAATCTATGGAAGATCGACCAAGCTACCATAAATAATGGTCTAAAGATATTTGCTTTAGTCAGCTAATCAGTCACAACGTCAAACCTTGTATATATGTACATCGGTTCAAGTCGTTATACCCCATTAACACAGAGATGACATTGTCAGACTAAATCACAGAATAGTAGAGAAACTAACGGTATCAGTGGTAATAGAAAAGATTGGGCATCGGAGATATAATTCGAAAAGCAAATATGAATCAATGAAATAAAAACGAAAACGTTATAAGGAATTTAGAATCTCAGAATTTGGGTAAGACAGAGAATGGACACATCTGTATCATTTTGAATTATATCATTCAATTAACTAACCCCTCTTGTGTATCATTATCACTACGCACCACCAATGCTAATGACTTGAAATGACGAAACGTTATTCCTGGTCTCCTGAAACTACGCTGTAAACTACATGTTGGAGCTTTCAATGTTCGAACCTCGTATCGATTAGGACAACAGGCTTCTTTAGCTAGGACTCTGAAAATGTCGTGCCATCGATGTATGCAGCGTCTTCAAAACGAGCATACAGGATCCAAGTACAGTCATCCACTTGACATTTGCTTTAATTCATGATAAAGTTTACAGTGCTCAACGGAATGCGATAAGGCGTAATATAACACGAATAAGTCACTCAAATAAAAACAATAAGGTCTAATGTGACTCTTAAATAGCTGAAGTGCTAAGTCCAATCTCCATAAGTAATGCTCCTGCACAACAGGCGTCGCAAAATAGAACTAGGCAGTTATTCAGTAGTTTTTGTCTCGAATTGACCAACACCGTGAGCATTAACAGTTGAAAGAACAGTTCGAATCTTCAAAGTCCATCAAGTCCTAATAAAACTTGAGTGATCCTTAAAGTAATCCTAAAAGAAGGAATATTTATGTAGCTAGTATTTATTAGATTGTATGAATCCAGGAATACGGTAAGAAAGTTATGTATAATCGAATGGAAATACAGTAGATCAATCAATAATTGACCAAAATTTGGATACCCGCAACAACTAAAAACAGAACTTACGATTATCAGAAAGAACTGTACTATCAAGCATATCATATATTTGCTGACTAGGTGAATGAGACCTATTAGACTGTACACATGTAAGAATATCTGGATCTGACTTAAGAATATCATTTTCCAGTTGGTTTAGTGGAGGAATTAAATACGAATGTGTATATAAAACGGATTCGTCTGAGACTCCAGGATTCATATGAATGGCATCATGATTTGCGAAGACAGACATAATCATCCAATAAACAACTGATCTCCAAATTTTGTGGTTATTTTGCTAATGTAGGCAGAACAAAGAGCACTTCATATCTCATTTACACAAACATACCTAAAAACGAATATAAAACAGAAACTAAATCACGAAAGTAATGTATTAAGTAACACCCGGTATAATTCACAAAATAGGGGATCAGTACATTGTAAGTCAGATGGTCTAATCAAATTCCTATCTGATTTTATCTAAAATATAAATGCTGGTACAACTAGGCGCCAATACAATTGATTCGAAAATTTGTAACAAGGAGGGTGAGTATAATCAAAAACAAATGGATGAGAACAAGTCCATATTTCAAGTCAATGAGTCACATCTCTAGCACCACAACCAAGAAGTCGTGATCCATCAATACATGCGAGTTTTATAACTGTTTTACAACTTTTTTTTAAACCATGGAGCCGTCATAAACGGACCAATGCTCTGCATTTTTCCCCCAGTCGCAGTGTCAGTAAATAAAGCAAGATATAGAATTCACTGGGATAACATCTGTAAAACATGTCTAACAAGGCGAAGTCGATTCTTTAACGTGATGACGCCGAGTATTTGTCACTGCTCATGAACTCAAATTGCTTAACATTAACATTAATTAGTGTTGATAATATATATCAAGAATCCTTCGGAGATATTTATGATCGAATACAGAGAGTAAACGAACATCCCCAATTTAATGAGGCTGTGTTTTGCATGCATAGAGCAGCACACTCTCACCGATACGTTGTTGACCCGACCACAATAACCCCGCGATGACGACAAACATGGTCCAGATTGGTATAAGCCATTCTGGCTTTAGTCATATGTTCTTAAATTTCGTCAATCACAATACCAATAGCACTCACAGAACTACCAAGCTACACAAGCTTTCTGATTACTTTTAACGGATCATCAAAGGATGAGCTCCAGCACAAGCTTTTCCCAGTTTCGTGAAAGTACTTTGTATTTAGATGTAAAGTACACATCATACCTACGGATGCTGATTGTCAACTAATCAAGTGCGATTCTCGTGGCCTGAAATATCATCGCACAATAAAACAAAATCATTCACATACCGATGACAGAAAATTTTATGAAGATAGGAGATTCACATCACCATCGTCACCACCTCTATTATGTACTTCCTTCTGAGGCGTTTCCAGACTGCCATTGATGACAAAGTTATAGAAAAATAGTGGGATTGGGTAACTCTGCTTAGTCAGAAACTAATTCCTGTTCCTTTGGATAGTTTATTTTAACTGAACAACTTGTACTTTTTGTTGTAATACGGTTTTTCTAGAGATATATAGCATAGCATTTGAATGTTGAAAGGAGTACGTGAAAATAATGTTATGCAACACTGATCATCTGTTATGAGTAATGAAGTGCGAGATCAAAATATCTAAGATCCAATTATATTCTTTACTGTTACATGGATATGTGCCGACACAATATAAACTATATAGTCTCAAATAGTTTATGGGATCTACTGGAAAATAAAAAAGCCTAAAATTGAGAATCTATCGTATAGACAGATTAGAAACCTAGGGAATAACCAAATGATTTAGGGAATAATTATGTCCTAATTTGTATTTCATAATGTTTGCTTATGCACTTGCTGGAAAAGTGCGTTGGGAATTAGACAAAATTCCATACTGAAGAAATTTATTTTGTAGAATTAAATCAACTTTTCGAGATTAATCATATTTATGGCACTTTCCTCTAACGTTGAGATTATGTGGATAAAAGATGGATTTTTACACCAAATGCCTCGTACAAATGTAGTGAATTATGTAAGGTGTAATTAAACCAGAATACACTGACTTTTTTCAAATGACGTGTAATAAACTATCTCTAATTTTTGTGAAAAACTAGCGCAATCTGCGTTTTTAAGCATTAACAGTTTGATAACTGCGCGCTTTTCGAGTTTGACGTGATTTCCCACCAATAACTGTAAATATTCACCCTTCCAATACTACATTGGAATATTTAAACGCTTCTAAGTATACATACTGAGTCTTCGTCTCGCTGGTAGACAACCATAACAACAAATTCGACCATAATCATACCAAGACTGAACCACTAAGCGGTAGGTATAGCCCTCTTCCTAGTTGCTTCAAATGAGACAAAAACACATCCATTTGCTTGCAAACAAAGGACTTGTAGATAAGTTACTGAATCAATGAGAAGTTGTTTACTAGAACGGTCAAAAGTAACATGGCAATTTAAGTCTCTCAGGTTCTATTCTTGCGTAGAATATATTCACTTATCTCTATTATTTTCCTCCTCCGGAACTTTTTTCTCGAGTACTTCCTCCCTAAATTGTCTCACATTTTACCTTTTAATCTATTAAATGGCATGCACAGTAATAATGTTTTCACCATTGCTAATATTATAACTACAAGGACGACTATCAGAGGAAGAGGTTTTAATTTAGATGTTATTAATAAGTCAAAAATCCTCGTTTCTAGAAACAAGATCATAAGAAAGCTCAAGAAGACACCAGAAAAAATCTTCGGGAAATGTGTTCAACATGGATCACTCAACTTAAACGACGAAACTGGACTTCTCACTAAGTAATCAGGATCACACTCCTACCCAGGTCTCTACTCCTAGTAAGACTAGCATGCAAAACAGAAACAGGTCGTCCTAAATTACTCGCATTGCCTACTATTGGAGAAAAACAGCACAAAAACGATAACTGAATCGCATGCCCGTCACCCGTAAAAACCAGTGACTTGTCATTTGAATGTAAGTTTTGAAGTGGATGGGTTCACTTTCACTGCGATACAGCAGTACCTAGGCAGTACTATGGGTTTGCACTAAGTCATCCCTGTTCGTGGTTCTGGTACATCTTCTCAATTGTACAGAAAACACACCAACTGAACCAACAAAAGAGGGAGGGGACAAAGATGCTAGACAAAATCTTCTGATTCTGTTTAGTGTCCCAGTGTCAGAGAGTAGCTTATTCGACGGTAGGACAACCTTTGATAAAAATGAGTGGGACAAATAATGTACAATGATGGGAAAGAGTACCACTTTAGCCCACAAACACGATATGCAACAGTGGCGTTGGCTATCATGCAGCATGGACCTTCACAGCACTACTATTATTAGCGTCTTTAAGCTATCCCGTCAGTAACACCTCACGACCATTAAGTCTCCGCATCTACCTATAATCCTGAAACAGTGAGCATAAGACATTAACACAATGGTGTGAGACCTGTTCATACACTCACTAGATTCGCACCAACTCCCAAGAGAATGGAAGCAGGCCACTCTTACTACAATCTTAAAAGGGGGGGCAGAAAAAAATTAGTTACCGACCGATTGCATCAATCCCAATACTCTCGAAGGACTGGTGAATGAACAAATGAGGGAATATACGGATAAAAACAACATCCTCCACGAAGCTCGAAACGAGTTCAAGAAAGGTAGGTCATATGCAACCAATCTCCTCATAGTATGGGAAATCTGGACGACCTAATGGGACCATAAGATACCAGTTAATGCAACATTCCTCGATTTCGCAAAAGCCTTTGACACAGTACTTCATGTACTTTTCATAGCAAACATTGCAGTATTAATGGCCCACTTTTATCCTAGATCTGAAACTATTTAAGGAACAAGATAAACAGAGTGCACGCAAGTTGGGAGGTTTCAACATCAGGAGTTTCGCAAAGAACAATCCGCTAACAATTGTCTCTTCAGAGAGCGACCTCGAGCTTGTAACTACAGAGACTAAACAACGTTCAAATTACACGGAAGATGAAGCCAAGGCAAAAGCAACTCTATATATTATGCTCCCGAATGCCCCGTTACGGTCGAGGGTGGAGACAATCCGTCTCCCTGTCGAAAAGCTCCTACATAGCCATGTATATACAGCAACTGTCAGAAAATCCCTACTCAACAAGTACGGAGCTAACACAAAAATTGCCCATAAAAAGGTCGTGTGTGACCGACCTCAAGCAGTTGTCCCTTGGGCACTGCGGTCACGCTCCCAGGTCACTAAGACCACCTCTAATCCAATTTCTTTTTCAGGTACCTCCAGAACAACCCTTCCACGGTGTGGGGGACCGGGAAGTGATAACCGCCCTCATACCTCTAACAGCACTCAAGACCACTGTATTCATAATCAACCTCCGTCTTCACTTTCCATTATTCCTCCTACATCGACTTTCACCTCTAAACTTTCTTTTTCGGCTTCCCCCTCAAGTGTCACCATAGCCAACGGTTCTAGTGCATAAAACACTCCCAGGTCTACTGAAACGTCGCTCCAAACTACACATTGGAGCCTTCAACGTACGCACCCTAAGTCGAATCGGTCAGCAGGCTTCCTTGGCTAAAACCCTAGAATCTCGTAACATTGGTGTGTGATATGTCTCCGTAACACGCAAACAGGATCCTAGTGTGATCATTCATTTGACCTCACCTTGGCAACACGGAGAGCCAACGAGATACACCCTCCGTGTATCTGGTGACCCGACGGCCAGTTCTCGTGGACTGGCAGGAGTAGGGGTAGCACTAAGCATGAGGGCGGAACAAGCACTGTTGGAGTGGATCCCCGTTAACAGTCGTTTATGTGCTGTTCGGCTAAACGGCTCCGTAAGAACTCGGAAGGATAGGGACACACGTCGTTGCCTTTTTGTCGTTTCTGCCTACGCTCCCACCGACTGCAGCTCAGATGAAACGAAAGATGAATTTTACAGAGAGCTATCTGAACTTCTTCAGAAAGCTAAACGTTCAGACATAGTACTCGTAGCAGGTGACTTTCATGCCCAGGTAGGTAGCTTAAACCAAACATAAAGACATTTAGGTGGATATTTTAGTATTCCGGTTCAGCGAACAGATAATGGTGATATAGTCCTGTTTGTTGAAGACGCTGATAAAATTCAGTATTTTGGTAGTACTGAGCAACAATGCCAGGATGTTTGGGATGCGCTTCTCCTCCTTTAAATGCAAGTGGTTTCTTCAGGACTGGCCTGCGTCAACACATGAACTAAGGACAGGCAGTGAAGTAGTCAAACGCATCGACCCACAGAAAGCTGTAAAGGACTGGCTTCTGTTGAACTTTCAAAACTCCTTGGTTGGTGCCCTAGAGATGGAGCAACACTGGCTAGAAATGTTATCAGACACAGCTAAGTATAAAAGCCAGTGGCGATCTTGATGTAACTTTATTTTACGTTCTTCATAAAAGTGAACTTCTCTAACTGAAAATTTCTTTCTTTTTGTATTTTTCCTAACTGCACTGATTTTCTCATTATTATTGTTATTTCACTCATACAGTAATTTATGTTGGTTGTTGTCCTTCTTTATCATTGTATGCACTTTACATTCTGTATTTTTTTGCGACCTCTTTGTTATTGTTGGGAGCAACATACTTGGCGTCCCCTCGAACCAATGTATACGTGTTCAAAAAATAAACAAACTTCATGTGTGAAGAACTTGGCGCAATTATCCCAGAGTTGTTACCAACACTTCAAAACGTACGCAGCGCCTCAACTAGAAGTCCACGATGTAGTAGTGCCCCAGTTCTTCGAGACACAAATCTCTTGAACGAAGGACAAAGATGGAAAGTTACGTTTGTGGTAGGGTTAAAACATATATCGTACGACAGACTAACACCTGAGATTATTCTCGCTGGGCTACAGGGAGATAAGAGGTAATCTTATAGTGAAATACATATGAAGTAAACGAGACCACCCAATGCAAAGATATTATCAGGACATCATCACCACGCTTCTCCAGACAACCTTCGCAAGATTGCAAATCAAAAGGCAAACGCTTAGTTACGTTTTCACTTTACCCAAGTTACAATTTTCCCAAATTTTGAATGCTCTCCCAGCCTATGTGAACACAGCCCCCAAATGCCCTGGTATGGCCAAGAGTGGGGAGAGTCCGCTTTTCCTTTCGAAATGCTCTCACATGGCCATGTACATGGAACCACCGCCATGGAAGTCCTACTCACTGCCTTCTCTCGGCGAGGGTGTTGTCTACGAAATTAAGAGGACGAAAAGCGAAGCTCTGGCGCTTTATCCAGGTTGGTGGACACGGAGAGTCCACCTAGGGGAGTTGGAAAACCTTGATTCCAATACAATAGTGCACATGAATCCAGAATCCTGAGGGACCAAATGGCATATGAACCAATCGTTGGTTACCGGCTACCATGGGATCGCATCTCCATACATTGCTCCACTGCCTTGTGGATCCGACTTTTATGTCAAAGGTTGCGGACGTGGCTTGCTAAGAAAACCACCTGCTTCGGTTTGCGCACCCGGACAGTATCACAACCCTCACACAATTTGTGTGGCCCATATTTATCTGGTGCCCCCTTGTATCAATATTCGTGTTCAAATAAATAAGTAAATAAGTGAACACAGCCCCCTCATTGGATAGCTCCGGGAGATTTGACAAAAGCCTGCTCACCCATGGATCACCATCTCCCTCTTGGACCAGCAGTGTCTGACACATGTCTTATAAATTACCACGGTTATCATGACCGCATAACTCGTAACTACTACTTTTATATTTTCAGTCTCATTTTCTTACACATCAATTAATTAAAGTGTTTATTTATTCGTGAAATAATTGTCTCCTCTCAATACTCGAATTGTCACTCTTATTGCAACCAACCAACCTCCTGACTGGTAACTTGATAGTTGCTGGCATCCGGAAACCCTACAGCCCTGAGACAAAGGCACTTAGCTACAAAATAAACAAAGCCACAAACGAATACCACAATGACTAGAATTATTGGTCAAGTGACTAGAATACCGTCCATTTTACTTAATTAAATTCTAGGAACTGTACCAAAGCAAGAAGCAAGTACAAAGAAATCAGTTGATTCATACAAGCTTGTAACAGATATTAGATAGCAAATTGGGATTTACCTTACTCTGGATGACAGAAATAATGTGGAATTTTCACACATGAGTGAGACTATAATTTATGGCTAGGCTAATTAAATTTGATATCAGGCCTTCAATCTTCGCGCGAATTTTATCTATTCATTTGGTTCGATATTATTTTGACATTATAGATTATGTCAGTTCGAGATGAAAACAATAAATCTAATTCCCAATCCTAATGTTCAACTGTAACCCTAACTCTAATTCTTCACACTAACCAATAACCCTCATTTAACCATAGTGAGTTTGTGGATATTCCACAGTTATTTTAGCGTCGCCCGAAGGTCGCATATAAATCGTAGTCTCATCAAGCGAAAATAATTAAGTGCATACAACCTAATTGTCGGTTAAAATTAAGAGCGTAGTCTAGTTGTTTGGACTTTCAGACAAACAACCGCGACTAAAGGTGTCCCAGTACCACGCCAACGACTAAAGAAACGAAACCAACTCCACATTAACCTACTCATCACTCGAGAAAACAACAGAAACCCTAGACCTTAAAACACAATAATCAAAAAAGAATTTTTGGAACCACACAACCGGAATGCTGATATATATATATATATATATATATATATATGTGCGCCCTAATGCACTCGCAAATTTGCTGTAAAGTATCTTTCGTGAGCAAAAGAAAAGTAACAAATATGTATGAAAAAACTAGTCGTCCAGTCATATTTATTACTAGATTACATACCGAGATTTGACCACAACCAACAAAAAACCTAAATCCGACACTAATGTGTAGAACGCGCCACTTCAAGGAGATACAAGACAGATTCAATATACAATAAATAAGTTCGTAAAACCTACATGCTTAGAGTTATCCACTAACTGTAAATTTAATTATTAACCTGTATTCTACGTCATTTCGTCTGAACGAGAACAGTGTCAGTGAATGCTGCATAAAAGATCGTTTGTTATAGGTTTGTGGCGTCCAAATAAATAAGTTGGTTGTAATTGACTTTAAAGTACACCCCCTAACACTCCCAGCCAGTTAATCGGGATGCACACAATAGAATCCTCACGGTTAACCCCAGTGGGTCATTTTTGAACACTCAGTACCTTTAAATTGACAGCAGCATACAAAGATCTCATTTATGTAAATATAAGGAGTTACTCAGTCATTATGTTATTCGGATTGTAAAGTATTATGTATCAGTGTGAATTTATCTTTGATCTTCCCCTAAAGCGATTTTCCAGACTCCACCAAGTTTGTAACTTACGAGTTATGTCAGTGTTCACAAAGTGATAGATCGTATGGAGCTATCGAAAATGAACGTTACGGTTAAGAGATGGGAAGAAAGAAGACAAAAACCGTCTTATCTTTATTTTAGAAAGGGTCATATATCTAGATTGTGTAGCTCATGTTTAGAGTGTGACGTTGAGAACTGCTAGATTCAACATCATTCAGTGTTAGTGATGGTATTAATAACTATGTAGGGATGTTAGTTTGAAATTGGAGCTCATTGAAGATGTTTTTGAATATTATTCCGGTTAAACCGTATGTTTCCAATGAAACTTTCGATAACTCACACCCTCCTGCATAGCGTTTCTGATACTTCATTGGAAGGCGAAGAATTGGTCAGTTGATTTACGAATGTAAAGAAGCCTTGGTAAACTTAACGAATCTGAATGTCACTACCGCCTAGAAATGATTGGAAGCGAATTCAGAGATATATTCTCCAGGTGCCAGTGAGTCTGCGGATTGCCAGCACAGATGATTCGTGTCAAATTAATGTGGGCTTTCTCGAAGTTCGTGCTTGTGAGTCCCCTCGGTCTACCGGTAAAAGAAACCAGGCTACTAGAGAATACGTTTTTATTCTTAAATCTCGGAAGGTGATATATTGTGTACTTAACTGGTATTGTTTGGTGGTTGAAAGATCTGTCATTTCAGCACAGTTGTCAACTACTTTCATTTTTTTTCCTTGGGACTATATGTAAAGGAAATGCCCAACAGCTATTAGACGAACGGATAATACCTGGCTGTAGCATGTAGCTGAATTCACTTAGAGCGATTTTAGGCGCATCTAATGTTAGTCTTCAAGACCCAGCAAACAAAAGTGCGCCTTCAGTTACAATTGTTTAACTTATCTTTAATTTACTTTTGAAAAGATGAAGATTCGGCTTGGTAAGACTTGGAAATTCTGCTAGTAAATCCTGGTATTTTGCAGTTGTTGTTGGCGAAATATTAAAGAGGAAGAATGTGTTTGTAGAATCTCAGCGAAAGAATTTGAAGTAAAGTAAGAATCAGTAATCTAACGTCTAGCGTTTTAAAGACCATATTTGGGATAAAGATAAACTGATGTATTTAATGTGAATGAAGACAAGTTATACAGAATGATCACATCTGCGATGCTGAGCCATGCCAATCGACTGAATGAATGCTCCCGCGTTGGTCTTCTCTCATTGTTAAACGTCTGAAAGTTAATGTTCTCAGTAATTAAGTGTTCAACTTCAAAGATTGTGGGTTTATGATTCAGTACCACCACATAATCATGAGTATGATCATTTAAATATGCTTCTGAAAAAAACATCCTGTGGAATGCAAGTGATATTCATAAATAGTTAGATGTTTCTTTGCTTTGAGGATAGCAATAGTATTGCTGAGGTGAAATTAGAATGTGGATTATCTATTAGTAGTGAGTTTTGACCTTTAGCGCGTTTAACATAGAAGTGAGTACAGATGAAACTGAGATTTCAAAGGGCTCGATCTGAAGTGGAAGTTATTTCATAATCTGAATGAGTTTCATACAAACTATGTTGATAAAAGTAGTTTACTTGATTTTATGCTTTATAAAACATTCAAACCGTCTCAAAAATGCTTCTAAAAATTTCGGTTAATTATGGACAAAGTTATTTTGGCGAGAATATGTTTCGTGATGAGTTTTACGGAAGCGGACGCCCCCTTCACCTTCGCTTATATGAACATCAACGCCATGATACTTCCTCACTTATATCAATACACGTGACAACTGCGGACACTCATTCGATTGGAAAAATGTGGAAATCTTGAACAGAGGAAATTCCAAAAACACTAGAGAATTTTTAGAAGCCTAGCACTCAGGTCAGTCAGCAATCAACAAGCACACTGAAATCTATCCAATTTATCATTCAATCAGGAAAATGATGCACAAATATGGGGACGAAAATCAAACCGTTGGGAGACACAACCAAAAGAAAGAAGTAAACAATGACAAATTTAGGGTCAGTAAGAACCAATCAACGTCGAGGTGTACAGAACAAGCTGTGAAACGCATATGGGGAAATTCGAACACTTCACTTCTACCTGAATTTTGTGCTGATGATGTCGTTCAGAAAAACGATGAAAGCTCCACGACCAGACCATCCAGCTCAGAGAACAAAACTCCATCAAATCCAACTGGTACTTTATCTGAATTTACAACAGGAGAATTGATGTTATTATTATTAGTATTATTATTCGCAAACATCTTATGGGTACATAAGTGTTGTGAAGAAACCATTTCGGGTTTCTTCAAAAAATGCACTTATACACCATTTTCAGTAATGTTAACATTATACTTGCCATATTTAAAAAAATTTAGAGTAATAATAGTAGAATATTAATAATAATAAATCGGGTCTGTGTAATTGAGAAGAATATTAAACTGGGTTTAAAGAAGGAAATGGAGAAAATAAGGGAATATAAATAAACCCAAGCAACACAAAAAGGGGAAATAAAGCGGACGAAAGCGTAAATAAAGGGGAAATGTCGCCTTTTCGCCTTTACATCGGTTATTTAGGGGAAATGTCGCTTTTTCCCCCTTACGTCGTGTATTTGGGGGAAATTTGTCGACAATTCTACGTAACGTACAGTTTGAATGAACCGCATCCAGAACTGAAGTTTTCATAAACTTCGACAAATTAAGGCACCGCTTAATAAAAAAAACAAAAGTATTGTTATAAAAACAAGGTACAAAATACGGAACCAGGCATTCGGTTGATACGCATATAGACTGACTTCGTTTGTTGTTTAGCTAAAGTGTTCCGACATGCTTTGGAGCCATCACAAAAACTTACGTGATGCAGGTGAGTGATGTGCCCTCAGATTTTCATGTTCATTGTAACTGACTACCTTGTAAGGCCAATACTATGAGTTCTATTGAAGTCAGTGAGAATGTTCGTAGACGTAGGGCCACTGTGAACTTGTCACGTTCCCTTGGCTGTCATAGATCCACTTATAACAGAAGGTGGAATAAAATGAGAGCTGCTTTCATGAAAAAATATGACTTTCTTTCGTTCAGTGAGTTTGCTAATGAAAGCACCCTAAAAGGTAACTGAGTTCAACAATGTTGTTTATTAAATTGACAGAAGTAAATAGAGAAATCAGTTGTAATGAAAGTACTTCAACTATTACACCGTCCTCTAGCAACATCAATCAGAGGCTTTCAGATAATAGTGGTATGTACATTTAATTCATACGTGAATATAGTTCTTATAGGATGTAGTGAAGTGAACTTGTGCTCTCAAAAAATCGTGAATCGCAAAGAACTGATGAGCGACTTTATGATGTATATAATGTCAAATAAATCTCTGAGCATAAGAGATGCTGATCGGGTTCTGTACGGTCTACGATGTCTTATCCCGGACATATCGAAAAGCATCAGAGGTGTTCTGAAGACTTGTCCAAGTGTTTAACCAAAGTTCATCGGCAGTGGTGTTTACTACCATCTAGGATTGAGAACCAATCTGCTAAGATACGTTGAGCTTTGGTTGTGTACTATTGATTTTGACTCTTTAAATTTGCATGTCAATATAGATGGACTTTCTATGTCTAGAAGCTCCAATCAACAGTTATGGCCTATACTAGGACGGATCATTGCCCCTTTTCCATCCACTGATATTGGGATCTTTAGGTGCTCCGTAGTTAGCCATGAACACACATGGATCTCGGTTAAGGACATAAATTGTAAATGTATGGCCATCAATTTTAGGAATTATCTAGTTCTAATCCCATTGCTGCATACTTGGCTGTAAATGCATTTTGTTTCACTAGTGTTTAATAAATGACGACAAATGATTTAATTAGGTCTTATGTTATTTTACGGCTGCATACGAAGTAACCTATATCTAATACTTAAACTTCAGGTGCCTTAACTCATCGCTTTCTGTCATCCTCTGTCAACGAAAAAGACCTTGGTAATCTCTGTGACATCGCGACACAAGGTTACTTTCACGATATCCGAGGCAAGATGATAAAGCGTAATAGAAGAAAAGAAAATCAGGTATGTACTAATTTAAAGTGATAACCTCCCTACGGCTTTATGGTTGCAGTCAACAACATTAACAAACATAACCGTAATTTCAGCTTCAAGTATTTGGCTGGGCCAAAGAATGTCTTTGAGATATGGTTGTGACTTTTTTCTTTTTTCTAAATTCATAATTCACAGGACGACTACCTCAATTCTCAATAGCCGAACGAACGTGGCTTAAGGGAACGGTCCGTGCAATTGTTTCGATGTTCTACCTACATTTCAATAAACATTATTCTTTCAAACAGCTTACTTTATTACTTACATGGGAAACTGTTGAAGTGTTGAGAATGTGTGTTTGAGTTTCAGTGAACTTTTGATTAAACGCACAATTCTTATGAACAAATGATAACCTGTTCCTTCTTTTTCAGATAATTTCAAATAACAATGAATTAGCAATTGCATTGGATATGCATAACAATCGATGCTTAAGCTTGTGCTCTACTGTTGTACAATAATACGCTTTTCTTTTTAAATAAAATTTTTAAAATATTTACC